TGTGCTTAAAATTTCCAAAATCTCTCTGAAAAATTGGGACTTTTTGCCTGTCTCCGGTCTTTTAGCCCTCTTTCAACCACCATAACTGCATAAAGATTGTCACTCTGCGAGCATGGGTGACGGGGTTCCATACCATAGCAAGCGAAGGGCTCACGCTCAGGTGTAGGCAGCTGACGGGCCCTCCTTTCCTAAGCACACCCGCTGGGGTCTTCCCCAAGTTCACACCTCCCAACAGCACAGGGCCCCAGGGGCTGTTCTCTGTCCCCCGTTATGCGCCCAAAGTTGTAAGCCTACTCTTCCTTCTCATTCTTGCCCTGGGAATACATAAAAGACATTTATTGTCTTGAGTATTTTCCACCAGCCTCAGCACATTCTGGCCGCTGGACTTCCTGACACTCCTCTTCAGGGGTCAGGCCACTCCTGAATCTGCCTTCAGAGACACGCAGTCCCTTTCCACATACGGAGCGTGGCCTTCCACCATCTGCGCTCACTGAACAGCAGCTCATGTAGCCACACAGATGGCTCAGTTCTCCCTGAGTCCCACCACCTTCCTCCTTGGGGCACCATTCAGGGCTGTACTGTCAGCATTTCCTTTTTAGAGAGCAATCCTATCCCTCCTGCTAACTTCCCTTTTAGAGTCTGTGGCCATGGGGTTAAAAACTGTTTGCTTTTGAAAAACAATTTCTAAATTCTGTGGCAAATGCCTGTTCTTGCCCAGCCTTCACTCTGGCTTCCCAAACGCTAAGATGGGGTTCCTTCCTCTATGAAGGATCTGATCGCCTCTCTTTTACCAATTCTCCCTTCGCTGGTGCAAACCGGCACCAGCCTGAAAGCACCCCTCCTCACAACCTCTGTCTTCAGAAACACAGAACTACCGACAGGCGAAGCAAGAATTCATAGGTATTCTGATACTGTGGAGGGATCCCCAATTCTGAGGTATCTTGTCTCAAAACTGGCAGAGAGAGCCACTGAATCCACTTGGCTGAGGGCTAGACAGTGTTCTCACACTATATATATATATATATATTCCCATTTCTCTTCATTTTTCACCCACAATGTTCTCAGTCAAGCTTCCCACCTTACACGTATGTTTCTCTAAGCAGGGTTTGTTTGTTTTTTTCCATTAAGACTTATTCTCCTACCCTGCCTATCAGGTGTTTACTGCCTTCACCCACGAGCAACTTCTCAGTCAGGACCAAGACCTCAGCAGTGCCTGACCCCTGGGTGTCTAGCCTCCTCCCCCAGCAGGGAGGCTGCAAATTCCTCCCTCCTTTTGCCTGGCTCCATGGTTCTTCTGTGAGCAAGCTACAAGATGTCTTGAGATAAACATTTAATTTGTATTATGTATCTCTACAATTACAACTCAGAGACTAATACACAATCGTTTATGCATGAAGATACCACGCTGTCTCCGTGTCTTTCACCCACTGCCATCACTCAGAGTTGGGGTTCACTCCCAGGCATCTTCTCTAGGTGTTCTAGGACTGTTGTGTCACTGTCTATTGATTACCTACTATGTGCCAGACATTATGCATATTTTAATCTCCATTAATCCTCACAACAACCCCGCAGAGAAGGGTCACTCCATCTGACAAATGAGAAATGGATGCTCCATCTGACAAATGAGAAACTGGGTGGCTCAGTCAGTTAAGTGTCGACTCTTGCTCTCAACTCAGATCTTGATCTCAGAGTTTTGAGTTCAAGCCCTGCATTGGGCTCCATGCTAGGCATGGAGCCTACTTAAAAAAAAAAAAAAAAAGGAGAAAACGAGAGAAAGAGAAACCAATGCTCAAGACAGTAAGCAGTACAGTACTTGCTTTGGGATCTGAGGCCTACTTTGTCTCCACACCCACCAAACCCTACTTTTCTAATTAGGCATCTTCGTTATGCTACAAGTCACCACTCAGGTAAAAAGAATGTGAAGACTAACAGCTTCAGACATCAACCTAGGATCTAAATCCTTCCTGCCATTAGGAAGGAAGACCACAGTCCAGGAATGAACCACGTCAAGGTGGATGGCCTCACTTTCAGTCCCAGAGAGGCAGTCACCTGGCTCTGGTGGGAGGGCCCGTCCCTGCGAGCTATTGCTAGTCTTAAAACGCTGAACTTCTTCTCTGAGTGAAGGGGCTCCATGGCACCTCCCCCTACACACACACACACACACACACACACAGCAAAAAAGAGTGAGGAGCAGGGAAGAAAGATGGGAAACCCAAGATAACATTCCCCCCTTACAGAATGATACAAGGCAGCTGTCAGCAGACAGCTCAAAGGAGGCAGGGGGAGGTGGAGATGGGTAGAAGGAAAAGGTGCCTAGAAAAAGAAATGCCAGGGAGGAGGGATACAAGGAGGTGGAATGGTTCTCAAGAGACTCCTGGATGCTGTGTCTTGCCCCACCTGAAGAATCAGGGCCCAACTCCAGAGTTCTATTCCTGAGCCCAAACCAAAAACCACCCTCAGATGCCAGTAACATGTCTCCCCCTTCCCCAACCTCCCCAATCCCAGGACACATTCCCTCTGCTACAAGGCTGCTCAGATCTAATGTGTAAGGTCCCAGCAGTGGCCCTGGGGCTGGTAAATGCTGGGCTGGCTCTCGGGCTCCATCACTCAAGCAGAGCCTCTCAGGGCATTTCTCAGCTCCGTGACGGCACGAGAGATGTGTTCATTAAATGCAGCGTGGCCTGGACAGTGGTTCCCATGCTTTCAGCTTTCACAAACCAATAAAAAAAGAAAGTCGTAGATCTAGAGCTAGTAGTTACCATCTTGTATTTTACCAAGTAAAGACTTAAAAAAAAAATAGGTCTACTTTCTCCCAGCACCTTCATTTGGTAAAAGAAAGCACCTTTTGAACATCAAATAGAAAGGACCTATCCTTAAAACAGGTCAAAAAAAGTTAGCTCACTCCATTGTCCCCTTTCCATTGTTTCTCTAGAAACTGGGAGAACTCTGTTGTGGGCCAGCTTTGGTCTACACGCCAGTATGCAGACCTTCTGTCCTGGGACACCTCGGGCCACCAGCCATAGACCCTGGGGGCCTAGAGGGACAGCTGGCCATGGCGACGTCCCCAGGGACACAGATCTCTCAGCAGGGCTGTCTCTAAGCCTCAGCCAAGCCAGATCCCTGTATCTTACCCATGATCACCAAGCAACCCAGGCCGGCAGCTTATGCCCAAGGATGACAGGACCCTGGCCTCACTCTCTGCCCCTTTCACTCAGGTATGCTACACTGGTGCCGCTCTAAGAAAAGCTCAAACACGGCTCACCAGGGCCGCTGGTTCCAGGAACATTCAGCTCAGAAAGATCAACCCCCCTACTCCTCGGTTTTGATCACGGGAGAAGTGGAGTGAAACATAAGGGGTGGGAGGCGGCGGGGGGGGGGGCTGGTGAACACCTGAAGGAAGCAAGCAATGGAACCAATCTTTAAAAGTAGACTGAGCAGGTCTTCCTTACACCAAAACACCAATCTCATGCCCAGGAGTGAAGCCTACCCCTGCTCTTCTCCCCACTTTCAGAAATGACCCACAGGGCCCTGGGCCAGCAGGATGCCAACTCCCCACAACACCAGCAACATACAGGGGCTGGACACTGTCTCCCAGGCAGGGGTGGGGAGCTGCCTGCTTTAACCAGAGACCGGGGAAATAGAGCACAGTCTGTGGTCCTGGGCCATGACATGCCGCTTCCACAGGGAGTGGACAAGAGAAGGTGAAAAGGAGCAAAAAACATCCCACCAACACCCACTTCCCTGCCCCCAACACTTGGAGCTTTCTTCCCAGCCACGGGACCACAGCCCCACCAAGCTCACGGCACAGCTGGGCGCTCAGCGGTCAGAGAAATCCTGAGCGCCAGCCGCCAGCCCATGGAAGCCACAGGTGCCCTAGCCCTCAGAAACACAGCGGCTCCCAGCCCAGCTGGAAAGGGCTTCAAAGGCCATCAAGCACAACCCCTCCATTTCCCCGGGGAGAAGACAGGCCCGGAGAGGGGGCCCGAGGCGTCTGAGCCCTTGGACAAATCAGTGGCAGAGCGGAGGAGCCCCGCAGACCGCGCAGGCCGCCGGCTCTGTCCAGCGCCAGTTCCGCTGCCTGCAGCGACCTCAGCTGCTACACGCTCCTCCCGAGCTGCTCAGCTTTGCTCGTCCCTACTTCTGCCAACTCTCCGCTATCCAGGCTGCCACCAACCTCGTGCTGGCAGCCCGCCACCAGAATAGAAGGGAAAGATAGCCAATGCAGGGTCACTACCTCTCCACTTCCCCCTTTCATCTCATCCCCGCTCCTCCTTTCCTGCCTCCATCCCCCTATTCCAAATAAAGGGAGTACTCTTTCCTGGGCTTGACAGTGTCTCGAAAGCACATCATTCATTCATTCATCCATTCAGCTAGTCTCTGAGTGCCAACTACATGTCAAGGAACTGAGCCAGGTCCTGAGAATACAAGAGATAAAGAAAAGCCTTTGACCTCCAGAAGTACCTCAGTCCAGTAGGGGAACCCAAATCGTGGGATGTCATCAAACTCCCAGTTCCAACTGGCACTCCTGCTGTCCTTCTGAGAAGAATGATGGTGCCCAAGGAAAGGCTTAGGAAAAGACACATCCCATTCCATCAGGGCAGCATAAAGCCACCCTGTCACCCCAAATCTTTCTTTCCAAATCCCTCAATCTCCACCCCTTACTTGACACCATCACTACCCCACGTCACCCAAGCATTGGTGTGACCTGGAAGTACATCTGAGGCTTCACGCAGGACAAAAAACTTCTAGAAATAAGGCTGGATGCATCAAACGCAAACATCGGAGATGAGAGTGCTAGCCGGAGAACCCTGCTACCCGGTTTCTCTCTTACCAACTGTCAGCTCGGCAAAGGAGAGCAAGCCGGCTCCGACCCATGGCCCCATTCAAAGTTAGACTGAAAGGATGAGAATGGAAGAAGGGGCCCAACAGCCTCTGACAAGACCCTGAGAGTACATCAGCTTCGGGGAAAGGGCAGGGCGGCCAAGCAAGGGCCAGCTTACCTCCTTGAGAAGCCCCACTTTCTTCTTCAGCACCTCACACTTTCGCAGCTTGCAGATCTGGTGCGTGCGGCGGTTGGTGCAGCTGGTGCAGGCCCCACAGTTTTCCAGCCGCCGACAGGGCTCACAGGTACCACACCGTTTTCGTTTCTTTCGCCCATCTCCACCCCCTCGAAGTTGGGGTTCACTCCCAGCCATGGGGAGCCCAGGCCCCTGGAAACCCCCTACCATCACCTGGCCCTGAGGGAAGTCATAAAGGCCTGGCAGGTCCGGCTGGACTGCCAGGGGCACCTGAAACTGGCTCATGATGCTGCCAGAGGTAGGGGCATAGGTGCCGGAGGAGAGCCACGGTCCAGCTTCCCGCCTGCCTGTCAAGGCCCCCACCAGGTCCTTCTTTCCTAAAACAGTCGAGAGTGCACAGGGGTGAAGGCAAGTAGCTCCAGTCTCCAGGATAGGCGCCTCTTCACCTCCTCTGCAGCAGTCTGATAGGGCTCAGTTGGGGGCCACTCTCCCATCTGCTGGGGCCCAGGATCTGGGACAAGACACCAGCAGCGGTCCCCAGAGAAAGGATCATCTTGGCTGGGTGGGTTCTTCACCCTCACCCACCCTGGACCCAGGCATGAGGTGAGCAGGTGGGTCTGTGGTGGGGGCTGGGCAGGGTGAGGAGTTTCTCCTGGTACTTGTCCTCCGGGGGCAGGATGATGGAGGAGGCAGCGCTGCCTAAAACAGAGACAGAAAGGGGAAGCGCATCACTCGAGGCTCAGGGACAACTTTCACATGTTACCTCTTCCTGCTTCTGGAAAAAGAGAAAATGGGGGAAGAGAAAGGGCTTGCTCAAACAAAGTCCTGCCCAGAACCTCTGGCAGGGGCGCACCAGCACCCGCTCCCCGCCTGCGGGAGGAGGCCTAGCGCCCGATGGGGGTGCTAAGGGAACCTGCCCGACGAATTTAAAGGGGTGATCAAGGTGAGATTTCTAAGAAAGTTGTCCTCTGCCCCACCCCCACGGGCTTGGGAGAGTTTCACCAAAATTCCCACACACACCCCTCACTGGAGGTCGCTGGGCCCTCCCCGAGGGAGCAGAGCTTTCAAAATAAAGTTTGCTGAGAGCTTCACTCGGCGGGGCTGCCCGAGCGCCCCCGGCACGGAAGCGGCCTGAACGGGGGCGCGCCCGGGGTAGCCCGCGCCGGCCGCCCTGCCGCGCCCCCCCTCCCGCCCGCCGGCCAGACGGGGGAGGGCGGCCCGCTCCGCCGAGGGGGCGCGGGGAGGGGGGGCGCGCTCCAGCTCGGGCCGGGCCGCGCGCGCGCCGCCGTTCGGGCTCCTTTGTTCTGGGGCCTCGGCCGCTCGGCTCTGGCGGCTCCGCAGCCCCCGCCCCGCCCCGCCGCCCCCGCCCGGCTCCGCTACACTGTGACCCGTAGCACCCCCGCCCCGTCCCCCGCAACAAAGTAGCGGCCCCCCCGGCTGGCCCCCGGGCCGTCTCCCCCCCCCCCCCCCCCCGGGCCGGGGCCCCCCCCCCCACGCCTCCCCGCCGCCCCTCCCCCACCCCGGAGCCGGAAAGGCACCGACTGCACCGACCTGCCCGCCGCCTCCGGGGCGGAGCGCACAAAGGGGCAAAGTTTCCCGGCCCGCGCTGCCGCCGCCACCACCGTCGCGGCCGCCGCCGCCGCCTGGGGCGCCCGCCTCACGGAGCGCCTGGCCGGGCCGAGCTCGGCGCGCGGAGCCCCCCGCCCGGGCCGAGGAGGGGACGGCGCAGGAGGAAGGAAGAGGCAGCGGCGGCCGCGGCGGCAGCAGCAGCAGCAATGAAGGCGTCCGCGGGACTCCCCGCCCCCCGCGCGCCGCGGCACGTGCTCGCCCGGGGACTCCCCCGCCCGGGAGGGCGCGCACGTGCGGCCCCGCCGAGCCCCGCCGGCCTCGCCGGCCCCGCCGCCCCCTTCGCCCGGCCCGGGGCTGCTCGAATGGGGGGGGGAGGTGGTTGTTCCCGCGGAGGGGGAGGGGACGGAGCGGACAGCCCGCGAGCGGGTGGCGGCAGGGCCCGGCTCGGCCGCCGCGCCTTTGCACCTGCAGCACCTCCCCGCCCCCGCGTCGGCCCTCCCAGGACCCGGCTGCCCCCTTCGGGCTAGCGGCCCCCGCCCTCCGGCGCTTCTGCAGCCCGGGCGGGCGAGGCGGGCCGCGCGGGGTGGGGCACGCGGACCTCCCAGCCTAGGCCCTTGGCCGAGCCGGCCCCGGTGTCCCCACTTCCTGCCGCTCCCTGCGGGCCCGAGCGGTCTGGGACGGCCCCGGACCCCCGGGAGCCCTGAGCTCTGGGCCTGACTGACCCCCCTCTCCCGGCTGCCGCTCGCTCATTCCGAGGCAGGACAATGGGGGACATCGCGCGTTTGCGTACCGAGTCAGCCTGGCCGGCAAGGAGGGGGTACCCGGGGACAGAGGCTGCGGGCCGGCTGCGGGGCACCCTCGCAGGGGTCACGGCCGAGCGCCGTACTCAGGCGGACCCCAGCGCCCTGCCATCGCGAGCCTCCCCCGCGCCGCGCTCGGCTCTTTCGCGTCGAAAACAAAGACTAATCCGATACCCCCGCCCTGCCTCCCGGAGGAGGGGGAACGGGCGCGTCGCGGAGGGTAACGGAGGAGGACAGCGTTCAGGAGGGGCTCAGAGAACCTCCGACGGGGCCGTGGCGCAACCAAGCCCCATTAGCGGGTGCACACACTTTGAAAAGTCACCCTGGGCTATTTTCCAGACAGAGGACAAGGAGCAAGGCACAAGAATATTTCCAAGTTGCCCAACTGCCCGTTCTCTCTGCTGCTTTTTTTTTTCCCTCACCTGTTGTGCAGGCCAAATTGAAATTCCAGGTTAGATTAATTCAGCTCCACCCATCTGGCCTGACTGCCAGGCTGGTGTCCGCAGCTGCCTTCCTCCTACCTGGGTTGCTGGGGAGAAGGGTGGGTCTCTAACACACACACGTACACACACACACACACACGCTCGCGCGCGGGCAAGTCCTGGCAGAAACAACCTTGGGGCGGACTGGCCTGACCAGTTTGGGCGGTGCTCAGGGAGCCAGGTACCTGGCAGGCATCCCCGCCCGGCTGAAGCTAACAACTCAGCCAGAACTGGAAAAAGAGCATTCGGCCGGCTATTTAGAAGAAACAAAAAAAGTAACTGATCTCAAGTAGCGCTGTCCAGAAAGCCCTAGGCGGCAGGAGAAGCCGGGGTTCTGCCTGGAACTTCCCTCCTCGCAGGCCTTTTTTTGACAGCGTGCGCCAGTGGTCAGGTTGTCAGCTGTGGGTGGGTGGGGAACATGGCTGCTATACTTACTTCCTACCTTGGTGTGTGAGAGGACTAAAGAGTTTCTGTTCAGGGAAGTAAGTCTAGAACTGAGAGGAGATACTTAGTGTAATTTTCAACCAAATATGAGAACAGGTTGCGGACTTGAAATTGTTGTCAATGTAATAAATGTTTAATGTTTTAAATAATTTTAATAAAAATTATATAAAAGAAAATGTAAAACATACAGAGAATTCGAAGACAAACATCACCCAAATACAACCACATTTAGCCATGTGTATATTTCCTTCTAGCCTTTTCTATTTGTAGATTAGTTCCTTTTTTTTTAATAACATGGTTGTACGCACTCTGATTACACAATTTGCTTGCCTTCTTTTCACTTACCATTATGCCATAAGCATTTCCCTATTTGTTACACAATCTCCAGATAGCGTGACAATGGGGCGAAGCAGGTGGCTTAGGGACAGCAAATTCTGGGTTCCAGACCCGGCTGTGTCATTTGCTAGCAGAGTGACCTTGGACAAGGCACTCACCATCTCTGAGAGAATCCAAGTACTTGGCCCACAGCTCTCTGGACCGCGCTACTTGAAATCAGTTACTTCTTTTTTTCTTCATAGGGCTTAATAAATGAGAATAGTTACTGTCTCATCCGTAGAACAACCTTGTGAACTAGGTACTATCATGAAAGTCATTTTACAGATAAAGAAACAGATTAAGTAACTAGCCCAAGGTCACTCAGCTAGTAAATGGTAGGTTCAGAATTTGAGCCTGGCATCTTTCCTCCTGTATTCTGAGCAATTTCCTGTGCCAAAGTACTCTCCACCAGCTATCTATGAGGGGGCTGTTTCACAAAACCCCCTGGCTTAGCTAGCTAGGTGGATGCTGGTGCCATTCACCAAGACAGAGTGCGGGAGGAGAGATACCTGGAGGCATCCGTGTGGAGCTGAGGGATGGGGCCTGGGCTGGAAACACACACATGTGGGCCCCATTGCTGAGCACCGTGTAAGTGAGGCCTCAGGTGTGGAGGGGCTCACGGGTAGTGGACACGGAGCGTGAGAGGAGAAGGCAGCCAGGACAGAGCCCCAGGGAACGCCAGCTCCCGACGAACAGCGGCTGACAAGGGGCCAGCCAGAGAGACTGAGAAGGAGCCACCCGAGAGGTGGGGGAGAAACTGGGCCCAGCCCGACACCTGCCTGTGCTTTCCCAGCAGCTTCTCCCTCTGGAACCCTGCACTTGGACAGTCTCATTTGCTCATTCCCTGTGCCTAGGGAAACCCCTTCGCCCCTCACCACCAACCCCCTCCAGCTACTCCTTCTATCTGCCAAATTCCCACTCATCCTGCAAGTCTCCGCATAAATGCCAGTTCTTCTGTGAAACTTTTTCCAGCTCCTGGGATTCCAGAGCCCCACCCACCCCCACCCCTACCCCAGAAGTTTGAAGCTCCCTCCCTTTGCCAGTTATCTTATCAGCATTGTAATTGTTTGCACATTTCCCTCCCAGTTACCATGAGCTCTGGGAGGGCTGGGACCTCATCTTTCCACCTTTGTAACCCTAGACCTAGCGCTGGATCAATATGTGTTGAATGAAGAAACGAGGTCAGTAGAACCTGATTAATGACATATCCCAGTGACACGGAAGACCCACAGGCCTCCAAGGGGTTTTTTCCAGCGGGCCTTCTGGGCTCTGCAGCCTCTCGTGCTGCCGGCTTACTCCTTCCTCGCACTCAGGGCGGCAGAGCCTCTCTGTCCCGCGGCCACATTAAGCTAGAGGCAGTGAGTGGTTCGCTAACCGTGGTCCCCAGACGCAGCGTCACCAGCACCTGGGAACTTGTTAGAAATGCCAGCTCTCGGGCCCCACCCTAAACCTACTCGAGCAGAAACTGGAGGTGGGGCCCAGTGCTGTGTTTTAACAAGCCCTTTGGGAGATGCACGCCGAAGTTGCAGAAGCACTGGACTGGTGGAAGCCAGTGGTTGAGAAGAAGACAGTTCAGCACCCCGCCGGCGGCCGGGATCGGGCCCGAGGCGCTTAGAGGAGGGAGACCGAGAGAGGCTCCCTTTATTAAGCAGCGTGGCGGGCCCCACCCCCCCAGCGACCGAAGACTGAGCCTTTTTAGGCCAGGGCTCCGATGAGGTCAGGACCTGGCTGCCGCAGCTGCCCCAAGGGTTAGAAAGGGAAATCCCGTCGCGAAGGAAAGAAGCCCCAGTGGGCTGCAGGCTCTGCAGGGTGGGCAGGGGGCGTTGCCCTGCTTGGGGATGGAGGTGGGGCTGGGAAATAATGAGGACTTCCAGCTCCATGGAGGAACTGCGGTGGCTTCAGCACCCGGCAAAAGAGCACAGGAAGTTGAGTTGGATGTGCCCGCGTGGTTCTTCTGGAAGTCACTTCGTGGAATCAGTACTGCTGCTTTTTTGCGGAACCTGCAAATGATCACATGTCCCTTACCTCTGAGATGCTTGACCGTGCTCCTTCTCTTTAGCTAATAAGCAATTTGTCCTGTTTGAAGAAGGAGCTTTGTCCTATGGAACTTTTTGCAGAAATGTAAATAGACAGCCAGGTCCATGCCTGGGCTTCGTGTTCAAGATTGAAGGCATTGGGAGGTTTATTTGATTGGGGACGTGTTTCTTCTTTGATCATGCATTGGTTAAAAATGTTATCAGCTACTGTTCGCATAGAGCTTTCCCTTTGCAAAGAACTTCCACATACATTATCATTCTGTCTGCATAGTGGCTAATACACCAAGGGCAAGTGTTACTTTCCTTTTCTTTCTGTGACATAGCTTTTCTTCTTATTATCACCATTTTACAGATAAAGGAACTGGGACTCAGAGAGGTAATTTGTCCAAGGTCATTCACTACCAGGTGGCACAATTGGGCCTACAATCTGGGACCTCTGTGATTCTCCTATCAGGGCCAGGGCTGATACGGGGCAGAAGCTGGCCTTTTGCTCCTGGGAGAAGGGAGATTCATCAGTGGATTCCTTTTGGACATGCAGTGGTTAGTGTGATGTGTGTAGGGTATCTAGACTATGTTTTTGAGTAGCTCAGCAAATGCTTTCATGTTTTATTTCTGTGACTTCATTTTGAATTTAGGCTGAATCAAATAGACTATATAACTTGCAAGGAGAATGCGAGGCCCCCACCATAATAGGAAAAAGATGAAATAACCTGGAAATCTTCTAACCTAAGGAGGCTGGGCAGGAGGGTGGGAACTTTGATGGACTCTGAGACTCAGGCTGCTGAATACCCAACAGGGAAAAAGGCCTTGGTACCCACCCCCCCACCGAAACCTTGATTTGACCGGATGTAGCAGGACCTGTTAGGTTTCTCTATAACAATCCCCACGTCTCAGTGTTTGACATGAACGTTTATTTCTCAATCATGAAATTGGGGGTCAATAGGAGCTCTGTTTCCCATAGCTACTCAGGGACACGGGCAACTACAACTGGACATGTTGCCTCCTCAACCCTGAAGGCAGGAAATGAGGATGGGGCAAATCAACCACTAATTTCCAAAGTGTTTGCCTGGAAGCAATTCACATCATTTCTGCTCTCATTTCACTGGCCAAAGCAAGTCACAAGGTGGCGAGGAAGCGCAGTAGGTGCAATGCTCCCATGTGCCTGGAAGGAGAAGCAAACATTTGGTTAACAGCACTAATAACACACAGGGAATAGTGTCTGCAGGGGAGGTGGATGTGGATATCTGAGAGGTGCAATCAGTTCTGCCCATTTCATGAGTGCTTCCGCCTCCTGGGGATGTGTGTATCTGAGATTCCCATTCTATTGGGTTGTCACTTCTCCCACTAGAGAGGATTCAAAGACTCAGACCCGGGACAAAGAAATCTGAGCAGAGGGAAGCATGTGGAAGAGATGAGTGGCAGTGGGACAAACTCAGTAGAAACAAATGTGTGAATTGAGAAAGAATCCAGCAGAGGAAAGGACTCAGGGTATATGTGTCACCAGGGGCCTGCCTGCTAAAGGAAAATTCTAAAACAGCAGAATGATGGCAGAAGCATTTCCTGCCTTCTCGCCATTCACTCCCACTCATCCTTCCTGGCTTAACTCAGGTGACACTCCAGGAAGCCTTTGAAGGTCTCTTGAGACTGAACCTGCCGTCACATTGTTGTCTGTCAGGGACAGACATTGGGTCTGTCCCGTGTACTGTGCTATGGAGAGACCACATCTTGCTCAGTGCTGGCTGCGCTACGGAGGAGGTATTAGAGTCTCAGCGTGAAGGCAGAGAACCCAGCGGGAAGGCTGTTGCAGGAACCCAGGTGAGAAAAAAATGGTGGCCTCTATGAGGATTGTGAGGTGGGGGTGGAGAGAAGTACTGAAGAGAGACTTAGGGAGTCACGTCAACAGGGTAGGGATCAATTACATGGGGGCTTACAGAGGAGGTTTTCAGAAGAGCAAGGTCAGCCTTTCTAAAAAGAACTTGTAAAAAACAAGTGGAGAGTTGGGGAGAGGAAAGCACAGAAAATATGTGTAGTATAAAAATCATGAAATTCCTGAGCTACAAATCTTAAGAATGCAGCCAGAGCGCTGCAAAGCCTTCTTAGGAAGAGTTGAGCATCCTTACAAGACAGCTTCAACTTCAACCTGTTTGTCCCATTGCCTTGTTTCCATATGTAGCCTGTTCCATCTCCGCTAAGCAGGAGCCCGTCCCATCTGAGACCTGAACTTGATATCAACTCCTTTCATTCTCGAGGTTCCCCTTCGTCATATCCCTCATGGGTGAGGGTCCAGCCCCGATTTGCGGGAACTGTGCAGTGCAGGCAAACCCACTCTCAGAGCCCCTACCAAACCTGGTCATTCCGCTTGGCCCTTGTGCCCCCTCCCCCACACCTTCCCTTTCCCCAAACCCTGAGATGCTCCCTCTGAGTGCTTGGGCTCCATTTCCAGCTCCTCTGTGTACCGGTTTGTGACTGTGGGCGAGGTAATTCCCCTCTCCCAGCCTCCTTCCCATCTGTCAAAATGCTACTTATACTCCCTCCTTTGCAGAGTCCTTGGCAGGAGGTCAAAGGAGCCACGCTACGGCAATGTCCCGTCTCGGACCTTGGTGTGTCGTAGGCGCTCAGGTGGTCCCCTCCTTCCAACCCGTCCCATCCCCTGCCTCCTCTTCTCCCTTCACAGAGAAAGGGTCTTACAATATTTTAACCACATGTAGCCATGACAACCAGAGTTAAAATTTATACAATAATCAGGGAGGATATTATGTATTACCTAAGAGAACGGAGGTAATGATGTGCAGGTGCCCAGGATGAGACTTGGCACTGAGTGGGAGCCCCTCCGCAGCCTCCCCACCTGGAGACGGCAGCCCTCCAGACTCATCCTTCCCTGCATATTCAAGCAGCCCTAGCGCCTGCCACCTCCACTCTAACGGTCCTGAGCTTGTCCCCTCTGTCAGCCTTCGGGTGGCGACCCGGCTCTCAGTCCTGCTCTCCCCCTTGCCCTCACCCCGCGGGCTCCTTCCTCACAGACATGGACCCCATTGCCTTGGATTCAGACCTCCTGGGCCTGGTAGTCTCACCAGAGCCCTGGACTTGAAAAGACCAGGCGCCCGGGCCGTCCTGTGGCTGCAGAAGAAGTTTCAAACTCTTGCCGCTCCAAGGGTGGTCTGGGGTCCATAGCAGTGGCAGCACGGAGGCTTGGTAGGAGGGCAGAATCTCAGGAGGCCCCAGAGCTGCTGAATCAGTCTCTGCTGTTCTAACGAGATTTCCAGGTGATTCCTGGGCGCCCTACAAACTGAGAAGCTCTGCTTTAGAAGTCTTCAGGGATAAATGGGAGAGAGATAGAAAGGCTGCCGCGGTTCCCCACGGAGCAGGAGAGGCATTCTTGGGAACACCTGCACTAATGCACTGAGTCATCCGAGGTCACTCTGGCATCGTTCCTGCTAAGCCAGGGAGGCGGGGTATGAGCTGCTGCCTCCCTCTTCTTGCCATTCTGTAGGGTTGTCCTAACGGAGACAGGACTAGACCATGACCCACATCCACCTGTCACTTGGCCATTTCAAACCACAATAAAGCATGAATTTGAACATCTAGCTTTTGGAAAACAATCCAATTATTTATAGTGAATCAAAGCCTTTCAGACAGAAAAGAGGTGTGAAGGCAGAGAGAGGCCACAGGGAACAAACAGATTAGTCCCTCAAACAGGAAGGTGCAGTGGGCAAAGGACACCTGAGTGAGGGGATGATGGGCACTCAGTGGGGCCCGCCCAGATCCACCAGCTCCAAGAGAACCTCACAGCTGCTAGAAAAAGGAGGGAGAAGAACAACGATGCCCAGGAAGCTGGAAGCAACCCACAGGGCCTGGGGGAAGAGCTGAGGTTTATAAGTGCGTGCCAATGGGTGTAGAAAAGTTGATGCAGTGGGTTTTTTGGAAAATATCCCTGGGGCCCAGAGAGGAGGCTGCCCCTTGGCCATGAGAGCCTCCTTGGAGGCAGGCAGGTAAATTCCTTATATACCAGAGATGCAGGGTCTGTGTCCTGCTTCCTAGGGGCACATCAGGGACGTAGGGCCCAATATTAACACTGAACGAAAACCTCAGGATTAGGGTTGTCAGATTTAGCAAATATAAGTACAGGACATCCAGTTAAATTTGAATGTCACAGAAACAACATATTATTTTTTGGCATATGTATATACCAAATGCTACATTCTGGAGCAACCCTACTCAGGATTAGAGTCTGTCCCCAAGGCCTGCGACCAGGGGAGTTTGGGAGTTAGGCAGCCACCTAAAGCCCAGTGGTACCTTCCTAAGACCTACCCTATTTCTGAAATCTGAGAGAAAATGGGCTTTGTTAATTTTGGGGTGCGGCAGTCTTTTATGAGAGGCTATGCCATATTGTTTGCTTTTAAATGTTTTGTCCTATGAAGGTGGGGCCTACCAACGTATTTCTCACATTATCATGTATCAGGTAGGGCAATTCAAGGAATGTGTACTAAAAAGTGTTGTAGTTTTGATCATTTCAAGTCAGGTTCCCGTAGGAGATGATAAATGATAAATTAAATGATAAATTTAGGGAAAATATTTACAAAACAAATGAACAGGAAAAGTGTTATATACTTAGTATTCTTTTTTTTAAAGATCTTATTTATTTACTTGACAGAAAGAGAGCACAAACAGGGGGAGCGGCAGGCAGAGGGAGGGGAAGAAGCAGGCTCCCCACTGAGCAAGGAGCCAGATGCGGGGCTTGATCCCAGGACCCTGGGATCAGGACCCGAGCCGAAGGCAGATGCTCATCCAACTGAGTCACCCAGGCACCCCTATACTTAGTATTCTTAATGTGTAAGGAAAAAGATGAATATCCAAAAGGAGGGGGAAAGGCAAAGGATATGAACATTCACAAAAGAAGAAATACAAATGGCCAATAAAGATATAAAAAGCCCAACCTCATTAATAATCATAGCAAACTGATAAATCACAAAATGAAAATACTCAATCTTGCAAAGACTGTAACAATTCTCTTTCCCAACATATGCCACTGAGGGGACCATCACCTTGTGTACCCTTCTGGGAAGCAATTTAGCAATGTTTATCAATAACCTTCAGAATGTTTATACCCTTTGGCTCAATAATTTCACTTTTAAGAAAGTGGTGCACAAAAATCTAGGTACAAGGATCGTCATGTAAGACTTACTTGTAAGAACAGAAAATGAGAAACAACCTAAATGTCCAACATTAAAGAATGATTAAGGTATAGGATGTGAGCACATTAAATCATGATGCAGCCATTATAGTGATTTTATTAATTTAAAACTTAAACAAACATAGGTTATAGGTTATAGAAAAATAGGAAGACACAAATGAGCAAAAAGAACATCTGGGGGCACCTGGGTGGCTCACTCGTTAAGCGTCTGCCTTCGGCTCGGGTCATGATCCCAGGATCCCCGGGATCGAGCCCCGCATCGGGCTCCCTGCTCCGCGGGAAGCCTGCTTCTCCCTCTCCCACTCCCCCTGCTTGCATTCCCTCGCTCGCTGCGTCTCTCTCTGTCAAATAAATAAATAAATAATCTTAAAAAAAAAAAAGAAAATCTGAAAAGAAACTGCAGTCCAATGTTAATCATTATTGATGTCATGGACCGTATCTTTAAAAATCTCCTATGTTGTAGGGCGCCTGGGTGGTGCATTTGGTTAAGTGACCTGCTCTTGGTTTCAGCTCAGGTCCTGATCTCAGGATCGTGAGATCAAGCCCTGCGTCAGGCTCCGAGCTCGGTGCAGAGTCTGCTTGAGACTCTCTGTCCCTCAGTCCTTGCCCCCACTAAAATAAATAAATAAATCTTAAAAACATCTTTTATGTTTTAATGTTAAAATAGTGTTTTTGAAAAATATTTGGCAACATTGGAAAACATTTACGAAATATATGAAATCATATACATTTGTAAGGAGATATGCGCAAAGATCGGAAGAGAATACATTGCAATATTAACAATGGATCTCTTGATTTTTGTTTTCCTCTTCATACTTTTTTTCTAAAATTTCTACAAAAAGTATTATTCTTATAATCAAGAAATAGAAAATTATTTTTGAAAAAAGACAAATACAAGGCAGTTTCTTTAGAAAGAAGGAAGCCAATCTTGATTACTAACAGAATGATTGAGGCTTTGCACACTGCAGCGACCCGGAGAACTCCAGGAATCCTGGTGCCCAGGCCCCACACCCAGAGAAATTGGTTGAATGGATCTGGGTGGCGGCCCCAAGCCTCATGTGCTTGGCAACATCTAACCACACCTGGGTGTGGTCTAACGTGCAGCCAGGCGGGGAACCACCGCTTGTCCAAGCCATCTCACTTTTAGGCAGAAGTTTAGGCCCTGTCTGGTGGTGGAGGAACTGCAAGACCTGATTTCAAGCCCCATCAGTGGCCCTCTGTATCTGTGTGCTTTAGGCAAGCCGTCTAACCGAAGCTTAGTTTGTCTGTCCGTAAAATGGAGATGTTTGGTGCCTACCGCAAGAGTTGGGGTATGACTTCCAGGAGAGGGCAAATGCGAAAGGTCGGTGTGAAATAGAAAGCATATAGAATGAGCTCTTTGTTAGAACCTGGAAACTCAGATGATAACAATTATCTTTGATCAATGAAATATCCTTGGCAACACGGGAACCCATGCAAATAAGCAGGTTTGTTTCTAAGCTCTGTTGGTCTTGTAATTTGACTTGATTTGGAGATTCTGGAGGCAGGTGCTGTCAGATGTGGATGCCCAGGACAGTCCTAGCCTAAGGGCTCATGGCCAGTGGACGGCAGCCAATAGATTTGAGTTGGTTCAGACCATTTGGTCATCTTGCTTTGAGAGGTGGCTGGCTTCCGGAAGCCCAAACCTTGTTCTCATGAAAAAGTACCTTTGCATTTTAAGGATTGCTTCCAAATACGTGCTCCTATTTAACTGTCTCCTTGGGAGGTTGCGTGGCCACTGCTTAAAATGTCTTGGGAATTCCTCTTTTGAGATTGCCTTTGTCTAAGCTACATTTTTTTTTCTGGGTAGTTTCGTTTCAATCAGTGAATTCATTCTCTATCCTTTGAAGAGGAGCTTAATTTTAGAAAACAGTCAAAAATATCTTTCGGAACCAAACCTGATCAAGATGGTATTCAAGCCTAGATAAGACCTTTTTTTTTTAAGTGAAGAGGTCACTCGTGAAGTACATGTGTGTGCCTGTCTTCCTACCCAGTGTATTCCCAGCACCCTGCCCAGTGCCTGGGACCCAGATGTTCAACATATTCCTGTTGAATGGTGAACACAGCCTGGCTCTCTACTGGGACCTATAAACTGGCTCCAAAGGTAAGTCTGAAAAGGCTTTGGACCAAAGCAGTCTGTTTGGGATTAATAAATTCTAGTTTGTATGCTAATTAGAAATTAGTCCCTTTCTTTGGTAAGTATGCTTTCTCTCTCTTATATATACCTTATGCATTTGACTAAAGAGAAAATTTTGCAGTTCCTTCCCCTTACTGGGGCTAATACTGGATTTAGTTTCCTAAGGCAACACTAATCAGTGACACTGGACAAATCCAAACATTTCTGGAATTATTTTTTATGCCAACCCAATTTACAAAACAACCAATCAGGTATTGTTAACAAGGACAACGCCTGAAACAAAACTCGCTTTTTCACACAAGGATTTCGAGACACCGACGTTAATCTGGATTTGCACATTAGCTGAGGTCCGCACCTCCTGCCTTAATGAATTTGAGGCGTATGGAGTTATGCAGCTCACAGCCCAGACAGAGAGATTGGCCCGAGTCAGAACTCCAGGCTGTCCCGGCTCCGCCCTAGTAACTGTAGTAACTCAGCAACTCGCCTGAGCAGCCTGGGGAAGACATTTCACACTTCCCCCTTGGTCTTTATGTCCTTATCTATGCAGTGATCTCACACTCTTAAAGTCACGGATGCAAAACTGAGAACCGTGCGGGCTGACATGAGGCAGGGAGGGCAGGTTGGGAGGCAGGAGACGGAGAGGAAAGCAAGGTCCTGCTCAGGTAATGGGGAGGCTTCCACAGCACAGCTGGTCCCGGCTGAGGCAAAGTCTTTGCTCCGAAGGAGAAAGAATGCCAAAGCCAAAGCCGAAGCTCGATTGCTTCTCGCCACGGAACCGTTTCCAGGAAGGGAACACACAGGTCATCTGAGGTCAAGTTCAGGGCACGCAGCCAGCCGCCAGGCGGGAAGGAAGCTGCAGTGAATGCCTGCTTGCTTGCTCTCCAAGCCCTTCACCTTCTGAACACAAGTCCTCCATCAGCCCCTTTGCCAGGTCTCCCATGGGACCTCAGAGGCTCAGTCCAGACCCAGGCATTCTGGCTCTGGCCTCACAGACACAGCCCACACAGCGGAGCTGAGGGGAAGCAGGTAGGAGACAGTGTGAGCATCGGAGGCTCGCCGGCCTGTCGTGGCCTTGCAGAGAAGAGGGGCCCAAGTGCTCCATTTAAAGCCTTTGAGCATTCCTCATCCACCGTTGCCCTCCCCGCCCCCAGAACACACAGGACACGTTCCTAGCTCCCTGCCTTTGTCCGTGGCCTTAACTCCACAGCCACTGTCATCCCAGCTTCTGCTCTACAGATCCTCCTCCCGTGCGGTGCCCAGCTCACATGCCATGGGACCCATGCATTCCCTTTGCTGAAAGCAGCACCGGTTACGGTCTGTCTTGCATCCCACTTAGGCACACATCGTCTCTCCCCACTTGGCACCACACTCTATCCCCTCTTCACCATCACATCATACGTATTCCTTCCTTTGCCCACACTGCCTACCTGCCTGGTCTGTCCTTACCGTTCTGCCTCCCATCATGTTCCACGCCTCACCGCCCAGGGCTCAGCTCAGCTAGACTCTCTGAAAGACTCTCCACCCACACAGACCTACCAGCTCCACCTACTGAGTGGCTACTCTGTGCCCAGAAGTTTGTCTACAGTATTTCTAATCCTGGAACGGCCCTGCAAAGTGGGAGCAAAGAGGGGCGCCGGGGTGGCTCAGATGGTTAAGTGTCTGCCTTCGGCTCAGGTCATGATCCCAGGGTCCTGGGATTGAGTCCCGCATCGGGCTCCCTGCTAGGCGGGGAGCCTGCTTCTCCCTCTGCCTCTGCCTCTCTCTCTCCCTCTCTGACTCTCATGAATAAATAAATCAAACATTTATATAAAAAAAGTGGGAGCAAAGATAGTTTCACTTTCAGACTTAAGGAAAAGAGAGGCTCAGAGAGGTTCCTGAACTGGTCAAAGTTGCACAAACGGTTAGCGGCCCCGCCGGGACTGGAGCCCAGGTGTGAAGCCTAACCCCAAGCCCTCCATCTCTCCCGTACTACTTTTTCCTTCGGAAGGCAAATATTTTGAACTTGAGGCTATAAGAACTTTGAAGAACATCGTTCTTGTTTTCAAAGCAAGGAACCAGAGTAGCTAGGCCTGATGACTTGCCCAGGGTGACACGGCTTCTCTCCATGCTCTTTCCTCATTCCTCCCACGTGCTGGCACCGGGGACCCCGGAACCATCTATCCACGGCAGGGGGTCTCCAGTGCCAGGTAACATTCTCTGGG